GACCCCCCCCCCCGTTGGGAAAAAACCTCCAAAAAAAAAAAAAAAAAAGAAAAATAATTAACAATCTTCCAAGCCAGCAGATGGCGAGGTGGTTAAGGCACTGGATTTTCACATGGCCAATTGTGGATCAACTCCTGGATCCGGCAGCTTCATAAATCAAAACAAATACATAGGTAAATAAATGAATACATGGGCCAGCAGGTGGCCTAATGGTTGAGGGCACTGGACTCCCACATGGCCTACTGCAGTTCAAGTCCCAGACCTGTCAACTTGCTTTCTCACATCCCCCCTCCTCTCTCTCTGTCCCTCTCTGGTCAATAATTAAAATAAATAAATAAAACAAACAAAGTTAAATAAAACAATTCTTTTTTTAAAAAAATGAATAAATGTTAAAAAGAAGAAGAAATAAAAATAGAAATAAAAAACATTAATTAATCTTCCCAGAGGGAAAGGGCTGTTTCATATTTTGTTTATGTAAACCTTTTTTTACCCAAAAGGTTATAAAACTATTTCCCTCAGTCTTCTAGTACTTTCATGCGGTTTGGGGCAGGGGACATTTGCAGAATTTAAATTCTTTAAATCTGCAGATGCTCTGGGAATCTCCAGGTCCCATTCCTAACGGGAGAGCAGAGATTCCTCATTCCTAGAATCTCCAACTTCGGGTTATTTCTGTGGGAGTAATTAATGGCCACAGAGTTAGGAGTCGGATTCTGGAGATAGATTTCTGGGTTCCAATCCGAGCTTTAGCAAGTTCCATAACCTCTCTGAGCCTCAGTTTCAGCATCAGTAAAGTGGGTAAAATGATAAATAATAAAGACCTGCCTCTCAGGATTGTTGTGAGGGTCAAGCGAGTTTATATTTCAAGCACTTAAAGGGACCAGATGGTAGCACAGGAGGTAAGTGCTGCCTGCTGCCATGCTGACCTCAAGGGAAGGTTCAGGGTTCACTTCCTGACATCGCTCTGAGTACAACGGGGATGCACACGCCCATGGGCTTGGACTGGCTGTAGCTGGGGGAGGGTTGTGGAGTTAGATTCTGTTGGGAATGCGATTTCTCTGTCTCTCTGTCTCTCTCACTCATGGAAGATATAAACAAACAAATAAAAATCTTTTAAAGAAAGGCATTAAAGGGACCAGCAGGTAGCATGGTGGTTGGAGCACTAGACTCCCACATGACCAATCATAGTTCAAGTACCAAACCTGGCAGTTCGCTTTCTTGCTTTCCCTCTCTTTGTCTCTGTGTCTTTCTGGTGGGTGCACGTGCCCAATAGGAAATTAAGTAATAATATTAGTTAATTAATTAATTTTAAAATAATTATTTATTTATAATTATTATTATTATTATTTCATTTGACCAGAGAAAGATAGAGCAAGAGAGAGAAAGGGAAAGTGAGAAAGCAAGCCACCAAGCCCAGGAACTGACCATGGTCGACCATGTGGGAGTTCAGCACTTTAACTATCATGCCACCTGCTGGCCCCTTAAATAAGTAATTTTTAAATGCATTAAAGCACTTAGTATAGTGGAAAAGGCCACATCTGTGTTAATTTTTTAAAAAGAATTCTTCTTTTAAAAATCTTTTTGGAGAGGTTTTTGCTATAGGGCGCATGCGCTTGCCAGAGAGAAAGACAGAGAGATAGAAAATGAGAAATCACCCCCCGGGAGAGATGGCCACGCCACAATCCCTTCTCCTCCGTTCTCCTCTCTGGATCTTGGGCACGTACGCACATGCGTCCGGCGTGAGTTTAAGCCACCGGGTCTGTAACTCAAACCATGGTTGACTACATGGGAATCCAGCAACATAGCCATTACGCCAACTGCTGGTCCCAGAATTATTCATTTTAATTTTATTTATTATTATTATTCGATCTGACCAGAGACAAGCAGAGAGAGAGAGAAAGCAGGCCGCCAGATCCAGAACTCAAACCACAGTCAGCCATGTGGG